TGTATATAATGTTATACTATTATTTTGTGTTCATGTATCGGTAATTATTTCTAAAAATATCTTTTGTTTAATGGCATAAAGCAGTCTCATACAATTACACAATTCAACTTATGTACAATCCATAAAACATATGTTATATCAACGAAAAATGAGGATGTCAGCGATAGTTGAACGTAAATTTAGCAGGCTAATTTACTTGATTCGCCAAGTTTAGTCAATTCAAAATGTTAATTGTGTTAATGGATAACTAATCATAACAATTAAAACCAATCAATCGAGATTCGTGCCTCGATGTTCCCTACTTAGACATAACATTATATGGGAAAAATTTTAATTGTACATTTAATATAAGGTATAAAATGGGAAAATTTACACAATGTATCTTTATTGAATATTTTTTAAACAAACCTCTGATATATATATATTTAAAAGAAAATGTTAAGCTTAAAAATTATTTTAAATGATGAATTGTAGTTAAATATAAAAAATCAAAATCTAATAACACAAATAATCTTAAAGCATTAAATTTTATAAAAGTAACAACATGTATTAAAATCAGTATTTCTATATGAGTTATAAATAAAGAATTAAATAATGTTTATAAATATTTGCTTATACGTTATATTTACTAACAAATAAGTGAAATACTTTAGTTTACAGTTTGCTTGCACAGCCAGAAAGAATGATTCAGAATGTTGCGTCTCATATATGTGTTTTATAATGTCCAAGATTACAGTCTTAATAGACAACAAATTTTTAAAAAGCTATAGTTATAGACAAGTGTGACTAACCGTCCTTAATTACAGAAGACAGTTTTCTATTTAGAGTGTCTGTCCTCTGTGTTTAAATGATCGGCTACGTGCATAAAACCGGTATGTATTTTTCAATGCAAACTGTATTCATAACATAATCATTGTATTACTAATATTACATATCACATTGTATAGTACGAATACAATGATTATGTTATGCATACAGTTTGCATTAAAAATACAAAACGGTTTTCTACATCCAGATGATCAAATGTCCTTTATTTGTAAAATGTATTAAAAACCATATTTAGAAAAATAATTGTGGACTCGAACTGCAAAATAAATTACTTTTCCCATTATAATCATAATCATGTAACTAATTATCATATTAATTTTATAGAAATGTTGCATAAAAACTAACGATTTTAATAAAAATGAACATTAATTATAATAATTCTCATTAAGAATGTTATATTTTCAAGAACAAGATATTATAATATAATGTGCATTATATTGATTTAAAATAATTTAATTTTAAAAGCAAATATAAGTATAAAAATTAAAAATATATTTAAAAACCTTATTACATAAGTTTACAACAAAAATACATTAATATTATTATTAAATTAATAGTACCCCTGTTTAACTAGAAATGCATTATATTTTGGTAAATAAGTGTTATGAGTAATTGATTGATATATTTACGTTAATCAAGTAAAGTCTCAAGGCTACCTATGCAATTATCAATATATTATTGAAATGATTGACACGCGTAATTTAAATTCAATTTAAGAAACATTGCAAAATATTTATGAAACCTTCACTAAATTACTTATCGGTCAAAATAAATTACTTAATTATTGTATTGTAATGATATTTCTAAATATATCTTAAAAGTACAGGTAAACTTGATAACACCATAAAACAATTGTGGTATACAAAATTCTGCCAAACATATTTAATAATAAATTGCTATTACTAGTATACCTTCAAACATTTTCACCATGTAATTGACGCTTACCAGTTAGTACATTATCATACTAGGTGCAATTGTACGGGCAAAGTTCGTACAAATGGAGTATTTAATAAAATTAATTAGATAATTGGGGAATAGATATATATTTATAACTTTTATATTAAATATTAGGTAGATAAAAAATTTTGTTTACAACCTTTAACAAATTTCAAAATAAAATTCCCCACAAAATATCTATATAGAATGCTTAATATTCATACTAGTATAATAATTTATAATATTTTTTGAATGAAAATTTTTTTGAGCATCACCTATAATATACAGCAAATCATTATAGTATTTGAAGTGCAAACATATATTTGAGTTATCAAAACATTTTATTAACAAATATGTCGGCAAACGATGTGGTGATCATGTTTAAACAAACAATTAATAATACAGTTAATAATCAAACTATGTGTTATACACTGAACAATGATACCCGTTATAATAACTACAATATTATTGACCGAACTCGCGATCAATGGTCACAAAATTGGACACAATTTGTTGGATTACCTTATATTCCGGGTGTCACTGAATTGGAGAACACGTTAATGTATTTCACAGATTTTAACGACTATAACAAGTTTATGCAACAGAAATGGCATTACTCTGTGTATATATCCATTGGTTACATCATAATCATACCACTATTGAAACAATGGATGAAAACGCGTGGAAAGCCTTATAATCTGAGAACTTTATTAACTTTTTGGAACTCATTTTTGGCCCTATTTTCCATAATAGGAGTCATGAGATGTTTACCAGAATTTGTACACATTTTACGCTCAAAAGGATTCACGGCTTCATTCTGTGAGTCCGACTATTTCAGAGACTCGCGGCTCATCTGGTGGTACCTCCTATTCGTATGGTCTAAAGTCGTTGAACTGATCGATACCCTGTTTATACTATTGAGAAATGGCAAACTACTGACACTTCATTGGGTACACCATTGTCTGACACTATGCTACTCGTGGTATGTATTCAGTGACGTACAGAATATGGCGACCGCCCGATGGATGGTAACCATGAATTTCATCGCCCATTCACTTATGTATACCTATTATGCGTTGAAAGCGATGCGGATATCCATACCACTTGTCATCAGTATTGCCATAACTTCGCTACAAATCCTTCAAATGGTTTTTGGACTGTATATTAATTACACAGTAATTGAGTATAAAAACACTGGTATCCCATGCGATGCCTCCCTATCGGGGGTCACCGCAGGCCTCGCACTCTACACACTATTCCTAGTATTGTTCACTAATTTCTTTGTCAACACATATTTACGTAAATCTATGAATCGTTATTAAAATAGTTATAATTATCTGGAGGATAATAATAATGTTAATTAACAATATTTAAATAACGTTTTCAATAAGTAATAAAAACAATAATTAAATAAATTAAATTTTTTCAAATATTATTTTACGAATAGAATATAATATAACATATTATGGACTACGAGTTGTTGAAGGATGCCTAGAAATATACATTTTAAACTGTAATTTAAGCACTAACACACATTAACAATAGCAGATAACAAAATTACAGTTTGCAATGTGTTTTCTAGGAATTATTATGCACTGGCCCATCCATATATTCTTAACAAATTTTAATCAATTTATTTTTTACAAAATATTTTATTGGGTTTTCCAAAAATAAATTATTTCTTTCAATTAAGTTTATGTCTTTTATTTTCTACCAGATAAATCTATGTTTTATATTATCTAGTTTATTTTTTGTAACATGACGATTCCCAATCGCAGTTGTATTGATTTTGACGATTAACGTAATAAAAACTATTATTTTTAACATAATAGTGTTCAAAATTAACCTTATTAGTATACCATAAAACATGTTATTGTCGATACCATAATGATAAAATACGGTGGATAATTGTCCAGGTTGACACCGGTCGAACCCGTACATCATGATCAACAATAGTTCAAACCCATTTCTCATAAAACTGTACTCGCTAATCGCGTATAGCACATAATGTAGCTCTCTGGCCATAATAAACGTGTTGCTTAACGTGACATACACGACCACGATGGCCATGCAATATAGGAACGAGAGCATTTTATCGTGCGAAAATATTATCGCGGTAAGTTGGGCGTAACTTTGGCAACATAATAATACCAATAAGCTGGTGAAATATATTATTGCGTACGAGCGTATTGTGTGTGCCAGGTCGATTATCGCGCAATAGACGATTAGGGTTATTATTAGGGGTAAAAAGTCGGTGATAGTTTTTGCGCACAAAAATGCCCCAGTACTGTACCAGCCTACGATATAAAGTTTAACTTGATTAAATATTTTGATAAACATTAATACTATACAAATAAAGCTTAATTTGATATTTGTACATAGCAATATAGTTTATAATCAAGCATTGTGACATAACTTGGTCGTATTGTTATATATTATATATAACATACCATTATAGTGTTCGTTGCAAAATATTGCCACCTCGGCACAAAATGAAATAGAGAATACAAACATAATCTGCACCGGGACCACCACCACCAGGGCCATCAAAAATTTAATATTATCTTTTAGAAAGTTCTCGTTAATAATATCAGCATCACTCTGGTGATCGCACCCTGCACCAAGCTCAATTGTCACGCAGCCATCGGGCACGATAATCTCTGTGTCCATAATAACCCTGAGCATCATGCCGGTATAGATGAGCATGACAATTTGCAAGCCCAAAGTTTTCCATTGACTAATGTAGGCGTATCTCATGGACCGCTTCAGTAGGCAATACACATCCCGAAAACTGAATCGTTTTGTGGGGTTTTGTTTGCCGTAAACTAATCGCGTGTTTCCCTCAATGAGCTTATCGTCCGATTCATTGCTATTTTGTTTTGACAGAAGTTTTCCGAAATCAGTCACTCGGTTGCCATCGGATGCTATCGTAAGCACCGTTTCAATGGGGACGTCGTTTTGGGTCAATTCAATGTCGCAGTCGTGTAGGTGCTGTCGCAGGGGTAGAGGGGGTCCGGTGTACAGACATACACCTCCTTTGGCCAACACATAGATGTTGTCAAACATGTGAAACAAATCGTTGTTTGGCTGATGAATGGATGCAATGATAGTCATCCCATGCCTTCGGGACAACACTTTTAAACAGTTAATCACCTGAAAGACAGACAACACATAGGGTTAACACATGTATATCAAGTAATGCCTAATTATGTGAAAGAGATGTCTGACCACTAGAGCGGCACTACTGTCCAAACCAGAGGTCGGTTCGTCAATACATAGCATATTAGGCTTTATATGAGCCGTGAGTTCGCAGGCGATGACAATCCTCTTGTGTTCGCCGCCAACCATGTTTAACATATATAACACTTTGGCCAAATCTACCTTTAGTAGGCAAATGTTAAATAGCTCTTTAATGGATAATCAAATTTTTAATCTGTTTCCACAGAATATAGCTGGATAACCACGTAATCAAACGGTATACTATTTGCCATATAAACTCATCGGGATAAATTAGTAATTTACTTTCAAAGTTTTACCAACATTTCTCATTGAAATTACATGGGGAAATCACTTGATTTCATAACCAATTAATTAATTGGCATGCTCATTTAACATTAAATTTAAAATCTAATCTGTACTGAATTTTTATGCTCTTTCCAATGAACTATTCAGAGTTGTTCTAAGACATACCGTTAAAAAGTTATATACAAATTTTCGTTAAATTTTAAAAAGTGATATTTTATAAACAAGCGCATTTTGATAACAAACAAAATGATGTTGGAATTTTTCAAATTGCATTTTAAATGATCAAGATACAGTTATATAAAGGTGGAGCGTGTTTAGAGTAAATTATGAAAAATGAAGTGTAATCCCCATGTATTTCAATGAGAAATATTAGTAAAACTTTGAAATTAAATTACTAATTTATCCCGATGAGTTTATATGGTAAATAGTATACCGTTTGATTACGTGATTATCCAGCTATATTTTGTGGAAACAGATTAAAAATTTGATTATCCATTAAAGAGCTATTTAACATTTGCCTACTAAAGGTAGATTTGGCCAAAGTGTTATATATGTTAAACATGGTTAATATACATGCATTATTTTATTTTGTGAATAACAGTAATTTATTGCTAGAAAACAAATTAACATTTTTAAAAACATTAATAATTTTATTATTTCAGAAGGTAATGTAGCAAATTAATTGACCCATCAATAAAACAGCCCATAATTTATTTATTAGCGTAAAAAATATAAAATGATGAATTATATACACATGTAAAATAATGGTTACTACCACAAAATATAGTTAGTATTTATTATCAATAATTACTAGTATTCAAAAGTAAGCTATGTTAAATAGATAAGTTACATTTAATCAACTTGTAAAAGTCAATTTTAAATTTGGGAAAATAAACACTATATATCACTAAGTAGGGAACATCGAAGCACGAATCTCGATTGATTGGTGTTAATTGTTATGATTAGTTATCCATTAACACAATTAACATTTTGAATTGACTAAACTTTGCGAATCAAGTAAATTAGCCTGCTAAATTTACGTTCAACTATCGCTGACATCCTCATTTTGTCATTGATATAACTTATGTTTTATGGCCTGTAAATAAGTTGAATTGTGTAATTGTATGAGACTGCTTTATTCCATTAAACAAAAGATAATTTTAGAAATAATTACCGATACATGAACACAAGATAATAGTATAACATTATATACAATTAAATTTAATGTTATATCAATGACAAAATGAGGATGTCAGCGATAGTTAAACGCAAATTTAGCAAGCTAATTTACTTGATTCGCCAAATTTAGTCAATTCAAAATGTTAATTGTGTTACTGGCTAACTAATCATAACAATTAAAACCATTCAATCGAGATTCGTGCCTCGATGTTCCCAACTAAGAAATTTAATATTAATAAAAAAATCCTGAAATAGGTACTCGCTCTTTTTGAATTCTCTATCAAATCCAGGTTTGAGATTAATTTTATTTAGTATTGTGAGCTAAGGGTGGGGGTATGGTGGCCACCCGGCTCCGCCAAACGAGATATTAGCTTGCTACTTTAATTTACTGAAGGTATGCGCGTTTATCAGGAACAATTTATTAAATAAATACAATTAAATC